TTTCTCAGGACACAGCGGGGACAGAGCGGGACACAGCCGGACACAGCGCGACACATTTAGGGGACACAGCGGGACACAGTTGGGGACCCAGTGAGGACACAGCGGGACACAGCAGGGGACACAGCGAGGACACAGCGGGGGACACAGCGGGGACACAACGGGACACAGAGGGAAACACAGAGAGGACACAGCGGGACACAGCGTCGATACAGCGGGGACACAGCGTTACACAGCGGGGGACACAGCATTACACAGCGTGGTACACAGCTTTGGACACAACGGGGAACACAGCGAGGACAGAGCGGGACACAGTCGGACACAGCGGGACACAGTGGGGGACACAGCGGGACACAGCGGGGGACCCAGCGAGGACACAGCAGGACACAGCGGGGAACACAGCGAGGACACAGCGGGGGACACAGCGTCGATACAGAGGGGACTCAGCGGAGGACACAGCGGGGGAAACAGCGGGGCACAAAGTGGGACACCACGGGACACAGTGTGACACAGCGGGACACAGCGGGGACACTGCGGGGACACAGCAGGACAAAGCGGGGGACATAGTGGGACACAGTGGCACACAGCGGGGGACACAGCGGGGAACAGCGGAGACAGAGATGGGCCACAGCTGGACACAGCGGTGACATAGCTGGACACAGCAGGGTACACAGCGGGACACAGCGGGCACACCGGGGACACAGCGGGACACAGCGGGGACAGAGCGGGACACAGTCGGACACAGCGGGACACAGTGGGGGACACAGCGGGACACAGCGGGGGACCCAGCAAGGACACAGCGGGACACAGCGGGGGACACAGCGAGGACACAGCGGGGGACACAGCAGGTGACACAGCGGGACACAGCGGGAGACACAGCGGCGGACAGCAGGGGACAGAGAGGGGACACAGCAGGAGACACAAAGGGGGACAGCAGGGGACAGAGAGGGGACACAGCGGGACACAGCCGGGATCACAGCGCGGACACAGTGGGACACACCGGGACACAGCGGGACACAGCGATACACAGCGGGACACAGCTGGGAACACAGCGGGTCACAGCAGGACACAGCGGGAACAGAGCAGGACAGAGCGTGACACAGCGAGGACACATTGGGACACAGCAGGACACAGAGGAACTCAGCGGGAGACACAGCAGTACACAGCGGGAAACAGTGTGACACACCGGGGAGACAGCAGGGACACAGTGGGGGACACAGCAGGACACAGCGGGTCACAGCGGGGGACACAGCGGGACACAGCGGGGGACTCAGCGAGGACACAGCGGGTCACAGCGGGACACAGCGGGACACAGCGGGGACACAGAAAGGGTACACAGCGGGACACAGCGAGAAACACAGCGAGGTCTCAGCGGGGGCCAAAGCGGGACAACACGGGACACAGTGTGACACAGTGTGACACAGCGGGGACACTGCAGGGGCACAGCGGGACAAAGCGGGCAACACAGCGGGACACAGCGGGACACAGCGGGAGACACAGCGGGGGACAGCAGGGGACAGAGAGGGGACACAGTGGGAGACACTAAGGGGGACAGCAGGGGACAGAGAGAGGACACAGCGGGACACAGCGGGAACACAGCTGGACACAGCGAGGTACACAGCGGGACACAAGGGGCACACAGTGGGGACACAGCAGGGGACAAAGCGGGACACAGCGGGTCACAGCGGGGGACACAGCGGGACACAACGGGGGACACAGAGGGGTACACAGCGGGACACAGCCGGGAACACAGCATGGACACAGGAGGACACAGCGGGACACAGCGGTACACAGCGGGACACAGCGGGGTACACAGTGGGACACAACGGGGACACAGAAGGACACAGCAGGACACAGCGGGGGACACAGCGAGGACAAAGCGGGACACAGCGGGACACAGCGGGGACACAGCAGGGACACAGCAGGGACACAGCGGGGGACACAGCGGGGGACACAGCGGGACACAACGGGGAACACATCGAGGACCCAGCGGGACCCAGCAGGACACAGCGTCGATACAGAGGGGACACAGCGGGACACAGCGGGGTACACAGCTGAGGACACAACGGGACACAGCGGTGGACAAAGCGAGGACACAGCGGGACACAGCGGGGACACTGCGGGAACATAGCGGGACACAGCGGGTACAGAGCAGGACACAGCGAGGTCACAGAGTGGTACACAGCGGGACACATCGGGAAACAAAGCGAGGTCACAGCGGGGGACAAAGCGGGACAACACGGAACACAGTGTGACACAGCGGGACACAGCGGGGGACACAGCGGGGAACAGCAGAGGACAGAGAGGGGACACAGCGGGGGACACAGCGAGACACAGTGGGGAACACAGCGAGGACACAGCGGGACACAACGGGACACAGCGTCGATACAGCGGGAAGGCAGCGTTACACAGCGTGGTACACACTGTGGACACAACAGGACACAGTGGGGGCACAGCGGGACACAGCGGGACACAGCGGGACACAGTGGGACACAGCGAGGACAAAGCGTGAGACACAGCGAGGGACAGAGAGGGAAACAGCAGGGGACACAGCAAGGAAACAGTGACAGCAGGGATAGCAGGGACAGTAGTGACAGCAGTGAAAGCAAATCAGACAGCAGTGACAGCAGCGATAGCAGTGACAGTAGTGACAGTAGTGACAGCAGCGATAGCAGTGACAGTAGTGACAGCAGTGAAAGCAAATCAGACAGCAGTGACAGTAGCGATAGCAGTGACAGTAGTGACAGTAGTGACAGCAGTGACAGTAGTGACAGCAGTGACAGCAGCAACAGTAGTGACAGCAGTGACAGCAGCAACAGCAGTGACAGCAGTGATAGTGAAAGTAGTGATAGCAGTGACAGTAGTGACAGCAGTGACAGCAGTGACAGTGATGACAACAGTGATAGCAGCGATGACAGCAGTGACAGTGATGACAGCAGTGATAGCAGCGATGACAGTAGTGACAGCAGTGATAGCAGCAACAGTGATAGCAGTGATGACAGCAGTGACAGCAGTGACAGCGATGACAGTAATGACAGCAGTGACAGCGATGACAGTAGTGACAGCAGTGACAGCGATGACAGCAGTGACAGCAGTGACAGCAGCGATAGCAGCAACAGTGATAGCAGTGATGACAGCAGTGACAGCAGTGACAGCGATGACAGCAGTGACAGCAG